TAGAAAAATGAAAAGTCTTATATCAAAACATGATTTATGATTGAGAAACTAACATATTCAAATTTTTCCCCTTCATGTTAGATACAACACTGAACCCTTATCAGCAACACTTCTACAAACTATTTGACACATTGTGACATTAATTTCAGAAAATTTATCAGAAATTGTTTTAATTCAGAAGTTGTTTTCAATTTGAGTTTGTAAATAAGATCTTTCAGTAAATCCCACGAGAAAAAAAAAAAAAAATCTGATGGTGTTAGGTTTGATGATTGTTATGGACATTAAATTGATCCATGTTGTCCTCTCCACCTCAGCTCAAAAAAAAAAAAAAAAAAAAAAAGCTGTTACTTTTGCTGCACTCTGTATGAAACAAAATTATCTGTTGCTACTGGGTTAATTTTTGTTTTTATTCTTTTTTTGACTTGAGGAGTTGGAGTTGTTGCCGTTGTTTGCAGATTTCCTGTGAAGTGTGTGTATTTATTTTGACTGTTATCACAATGTTTGTGTGGGCCGTTTTATTCTCTAGCCTTCTTCAGACATCATCGTAAGCCTAGCATAGAAATAATCTGTATATTAAGAAAAGAAAAAACATGATAGGTCTAAGACATGAATTCCATTAGTTCAACTACAGGTAAAGTAAAAATCAATCAGTTAAAGAAGAAGAAGAAAAGTGACATTAGGTTTAAGATTAAGTTTTCACCAAGTAAATGCCCTGAGGGGACATTTGTTTAATAAAATTGAGTTACCCGACAGTCATGAACTCAAGCCCTGAGTCAGGTGTAGCATATGTGCAGAAACTAGTTAAGCACAAGTTCCATGCTTTGATATAAGACATTCCTGAAGGAGATTCTGAGATGGTGGGAAATAAAAAAAACAAAAAAAAAACAAAAACAAAACAAAACAAACACCCATGAGCTCACTGCAAGATGTGGACCTTGCACTTATATTTTAAACATGTGAACTTGGAATAAACAACTATCAAGCAAATCTCCTTGTCTTTCATACCAAAGCACCCCATGGTGTCAGAACTGTAAAGCCACATATACAATAATGGATATTATCTAACCTCCCACAAAGATGTCCTGGAAAGAAGATATTGAAGAAAATTACAGAAACTGGTTGCAGAAATTTGAATTGTGCTTCATGGCAACAGAAAAAATTACCAAGCTGAACAAAATGTGTTTTTCCTGCACTAAAGGCAATAGAAGTATATGATACTCTAACATTCAATGATGAAAAAACAAAAAAATAAGGCACCTTTGAGAAAATTCCAGGAATATGTTCAAGGCAAGAAAGATATTGCCCACAAAATGTATCAATTTAACAAAAGGATACAAGAAGAAACTTTGTTGTTGTTTCTCACAGACACACAAACACAAGTAGGAAGATGTGAATATGAGCCTTTAAAAGACTGTATGATATGTGGTCGTATCATTACGGGAATCGAAACTGATAAGAACATTGGGAAGATGGAGGTCATGAGGGTAAACAACAGACAAGAGCCAGTGTGACTACACCAAGGAAGTCAATAAGTTTGTCTACCTGGGAAGTGCCATCAGTAAAGATGGGCAGACAGATGAAGACATCAAGTGCTGAATCGACAAAGCCCGACAGGCTTTCAACACTGTGGCCAATCTAGAGATCAAGAGCCCTTTTACTTTATAAGATCTGAATCTTCACTACCAACGTCAAGTGGCCATGCAGCCTTGGCAGAAAGCAGAAGAAGCTCTATGTCATCACAACAATAGGGATTATCTCATTCTAGTGGGAGGCATACTCCATTTACCTGGATGTATACCAAATACTGTCACAGAACAGTCGAGCTGTGATTAAAGCTATGCAACATAGATTTAGCAGATTTAGACTTCTGCAAGAAGTATTCACGGACAGCAGAATACCTACAATTTGCCACAAGGTGGGACTTTAACTCTATATTACCCACAAGCAAACGACCTCAATAAAAAAAAAAAAAAAAAAAAAGGTAAAAAACATTTCACAGAAAAATGTGAGGAGCCATCACTTGGACTCCTAATCTACTGCAGTATGCCAGGCAATGATGGGTCATCACCCAAACTAAAAGCAACCTCAAATAAACAAAATAAGAGTGCTGAGGAAAGAAAGGTCCAAGGGCCAGACAAAAATATTATTTTTACTAATGGGGAGCTCAAGACTAAACTCAGTAAATGCAGTTTGTCCCCGAGACCCTGAGCATAACAGGTGGAACAAATCAGGTATAGTATAAACAAAAGCAGAACCCAGATCATTCAGCATTCAAGAACAGTCCTTCAAGAGAACAGAAAGGACTAACTAAAAATAAACAAACGCCATTCAAATGAGGACTCCTCATGATTTCTACTGCCACCGTACATGGACGATGTTGACTAAAATCAAAATCAGCAAGTAATGGTTGAACCAGCATCAACAGACCTACGTAAACAGATATGAATTGCCTGGTCAAGAGAGCTTCAGTAATAATGCAAAATGGAAAACAGCCCATCAGAGCTGCAATGTTCAAATTGTAAGTCAAAACCACCAAACAAGTTAGACTGTCCTGGGTATGACGATAAACTACGTCCAAAAAGATCAGGAGGTTTTGAGGAGCGTGGAACTACCTCTTAATTGCTGGTGTTCCCTGGTCCACCCTGATCCGGGGTGGTAACACCTATTAGGGTCCTAGCTATGGGTAAATAGTTAACCCCCCAAACTGGAGTCAAAACACTATGAAAGTTTCAAGTTTTACCAGAAATACTTTGTAAAAATTATTACCAGCAATACGTTTTGGAAAAAAAAAAAAAAAGAAAAAAGAAAAAAAAAAAAAAAAAAAAAAAAAAAAAAAAAAAAAAAAAAAAAAAAAAAAAAAAAAAAAAAAAAGAAAAAAGAAAAAAAAAAAAAAAAAAAAAAAAAAAAAAAAAAAAAAAAAGAAAAAAAGAAAAAAAAAAAAAAATTCTCCTGAAAAAAAAAAAAAAAAAAAAAAAAAAAAAAAGAAAAAAAAAAAAGAAAAAAGAAAAAAAAAAAAAAGAAAAAAAAAAGAAAAAAAAAAAGAAAAAAAAAAAAAGAAAAAAAAAGAAAAAAAAAGAAGAAAAAAAAAAAAAAAAAAAGAAAAAAAAAGAATCTAAAAAAAAAGAAAAAAAAAAAAGAAAAAAAAAAAAAAAAAATAAAAATCTTGTCAGCATTAAATAACTCATTGACGTTGATATACCGTAAAACAAAACAAACAGGTTAGATTTATAAATCACTCGGTGAACTTTTTCTATGCAGGAACGCTGTTTCAGTATACGATAGGACACATTTGGTTCTCTTTAATTCTTTTGTCTCTTGTGTGCCTGTTACTATGTATGCTTTGTTGCTACAAATATCTGTAGTCATCTTGAGGATGAAGATATAGCATGTGCAGACAGGAACTTGTTAACCATGAATTATGTCCTTTTATACAAGGGCATTCCTGAACAAGATCCTGTGGTGGTGTGAAATAAAAAAAAAAAAAAAACAAACAGATGCAGACATAGTACACACACACGTGAACTTGGAATAAACAGCTATCAGGCGGATCTCCTTGTCTTCTGTACTGAAACACCCCACCTGGAGATATTACATCAAGTAGTTAAAGAATAAGTCATATACACTGATTCAATGAATGGACAAATTAACTTCATATAATTAACTGATGTGAGATGTTCTTTTGTATAGAGAGCAAAATGAGAACAAACTAAGCATGTGGATTGAATAGGTCACCACCATCAACACCACTGATGAGAAGATCTTTGAAGATCTACAACAACTTGGGATGATAAAGAGAAGAACATGAGTCATCAAATCAGTGGATAATAATTGAAATGAGATTAATTTCCAATGAATATGTCATACATTTTAATTTCAGTTGCTTTTTACCACAACAGCTCCCATATTGTCATTGTGCAATTGTTAGCAAGTAACGTGCATTTGAAATAAAGGATAAAAACCTAAATCAAAACATTAACATACATTTTCAAGAGTCTCCCTTTTTTTTTTTTTTTTAACTTTAAGCTACAAAGGCAAACAACAGTTATTCATATTTAGCCATATAGCTTTACTTTTTATTCTCTCCAAACCCAGATATGCTGTAATCTTTTGTTTATATCCATGAAATAACAAAATTTCTGATTTTTAATCATTGTGGATTAATGATCTCACAGTTGCAATAAAAAGCAACCGAAATCAAAATGAACAGACAAGTCCAAAATTAACAATGCTTCAACTAAGAAAAGTATCTAATCAGTTGGCGTATAATATGAATGAATAGACAAATACTATTTTTATGTAGTTATCAAAAACAATTAGAGAAAAGAGAGAATGTATGCAATATCTTCCAATTAATTTACCCAGCCATGTTTAATAGACACACGATTAATTCTGAAATTGTTTAATTTTTGCCGAGACAATGTCATAATAATATTGATAATATCCAGACTTCTTGCATTTTTAATGTAGTCATGTCTTTTCTAACAAATTTATTTAAGTTTTCTTAGCTAAACAACCTTCTAACAAACTTGTGTAGATGGATGGCAGAACAAGGACTGGGGTCAGGGGGGGGATTGTAAGGAGGCAAACTACTTAGAACTACAAAGTATAGAAAGTTATGGAGAGCCATGACTTATTTCCTGAAAGGATGTGACACATAAAAGAAATAAGAATCACACAATGCCTCATGGCTTTTCATTTTTTTGACCGTGATGTACTAAAGTGAATCTAAATAAAGCAGAATTAATTCTTTCCAGGCCACAAGTAGATAGCTTCAGTTGATTCTGCTTTATATAATAGAAATGACTGTCTTCAATAGGAATGATTAGAAGGTTTTTAGATTGAAATAAGACAGGAAAGGGACAATTTTTCAAGACAAATTCAATATTTCTTTTTTTTTTTTGATTGAGTGAACAATTTTTTATTTCAATTTCTCAATAAATGAATGACAAATGAATGACAAAAATGATTGACAAAAGTTCAGAGTAAATGAAATCAGTCTCTTATAACAAAATGGAATCAGGTTTTTCATAAAAAATTGATAATGAATGATGTTCTTTTATTAAGCATCTTTTGCAAATGAATCCTCCAGTTTCAGTGTCACCAACCTAAGAAAAAGAAAACAGAAATTAGTTAATCACAGAATTATTTTTAGGGGTTTAAATCTTCAAATAAACTGAGTGTTTTAATATGTTCAGTACCAACATTTTTGTCTCTCCTAAAAAAAAAAAAAAAAAAAAAAAAAAAAAAACTAAAATCTTTTGTATAAAAATTCAGATTGAAAAAACACCCACAGATGGCAAATTAGGGTTTGGATAACAAAGAATTTAATAGCAATTATTCAAAATTGCTTTTTTGGTGTTATAGGTTTTTTTTATTTATTTCCTGTAATTTTCACTTGCACATGGATATATTTTTTCTAGTTTTACAGAGTCAATTCGAATATTTGTCAGGTTTCTAGGGCTTTGTAAAGATTAGTAGAAATCCAAACAATGAATTTGAAATAAAAAGAACAAAAGGAGGATTAATTTTCCAATTAAAATTTTGGTTCTTAACATAAATTAGGAATGAAAAGAAAAAAATCCATGGATGAAGATCATTAATCAAATAAAACTAACAAGCAGAATATTTACTAAAATTCTAGAAATTGTTTATCAATGTCAATTAATGGGGATTTTAAGAAATGCAATTTTTTTTTTGCTGTATTTATTGATTTCTTTAATAAGAGAATAAAATTTTAAACTTGAAAAAAATCAAGAAACATTCATTTATAACTCTTTCCCTCTCTTGTATAAATTGAAAAAATGGCAACACCCTAAATATGTATTTCAATTCCCTTCTAATTAAATGTACAGGTAATAAAAACATTGCAGTAACTGAATGCATATACAGATCAATATGCATATAGGTTTCAACAAAGGCTGTCTTAACTGTTCTTTTCGAGTTTAGAAACAAAACAAAAAAAAAAAAAAATAACTGTAGAAATTGAAAGAAGATACAACGGATGAATGTGCGATAAAATAAATATCAGTATTTAAGCATTTGTCCTCTTCTTGCTTAACACAGGAAAAACAATCCTTTTTGGACAAGATACACTTTGGTGATGAAAAATGAATTTATTATGAGAATCTAAAAAGAAAGCCATCTCTAGTGATGACAGCCTTCAACAAATAAACAGGGACATTATGAGTTTGGTAGGATTTATTATGAATTGCAGGGAGACATGAACATTACTGTCACTATGCCTCCCTTTACAGTGAGTAATTGGTTCATTTGAATAATGCAATTTCAGGTTGTAAATGATCATAGAGTGTTCGATAGGAAGTTCTTTCAAATGAAGTGCATTCTCCAAACTTTTTACCTTAAAGATTATTTTCTCCAAAGCAAAATTCCTTATCTGATAAGCAAATCTAACAAGTTCACCAAAAAAAAAAAAAAAATTTTTTTTTTTATTATGCTTTTGCACTAATCTAATATGGAGGGAAATAAACAGAAAAAACAAAAAGTGATATAGTTATGAATGTTTCTTTGACAGAAAAAGATTGCTGAATGGCAGTGATTAGCCAAAAAAAAAAAAAAAATCGATATTAACATACCAAACGTAACCTTTTCTTTTCCATGACTATTGGAGGCAGAATTTCATCATGGACTTCTTCTCGAAGAAGATTGCAGCAGCACTGCACTGTCTCTTGATTTAAGGAATCATAACATCTGACTTTCAGCCTCAATTCCTGCCACAGAAAAAAAAAAAAAATTTAAACTTCAGTTGGCATTCTTTTAGATGTTTTATCTTGTAGTTAGAATGATCTCCCCTAACATCATTTTGCTTCTCTTTAAAGAGAAAGAAAAGAGAAAGATCAAATAATCCTTTACAATTGTCAATAGGGCATTTGTAATGAAAAAGAAATTCAACTTTCTAAGCCTTGTGTTATACTAGATAAGATTAATAAATATTAAGAGTTGTTTTCTTTTCCCTTTAAACATGATCTTTAATTCATTATAAAATCACTTTGGGAAAAGGAGTTATTCCTCTTAACTTCTTACACAAGCAATTTTAGAAATGCCCCTTTATACTATGCCTATATGCTCACATATAAAAGGACTTTTATTTTCCTTTTAAGTTTTGGGGAAAGAATAGAAGAAAAGAATGAAAAAAAATTGACAGGAAAGAATAATGAAGAAAAATCAAAGAAAATGAAAATAAAAAAGATGAAATTAATGTTGCTTTTTTGGAATAAGAATATTTTCAATATCTGTCTATATTTCTGAGATGAGGTATTATGTACATTATTTGGACTATTGTCCTCATCTTTGTCGCCATATTTCTTACAACATTTTGGGTGGTTGGAATGTCGAACTGAACTGAACCCAGGTTTAATGGATGTCAGTTATCAGTTATCTCCTGCTAATTTCCCTTTCCAAGTTCTCCACTGCCTTAGCCAAGTATTGAACTCATACTCTTTGGGTCCTGTCACTGGATCTAACTAATGCCTTTATCCTGTGACAGTTACACACCTGGCCCAGGGTCGAATCCCTTGGTTACGGCGCCAACTGTGACGTCGCTCCTCCTGGTCGCTCCTCCTGGTTCCAAGCGTGCCGCTCCAACCCCTTGGTTGGATGATCACCAGCCTCGCCTTTCCCAACCCGCTTCCAATACCTGGTCACTAAAGCAACTGTACCGATCTCCGGTCTGTCTACCCACGCTGTGTTTAGATCTTAGACAGACGGGACCAGCAGGGATTGGGGCCGATACAAGTTGAGTCCGACGGGGTGGCAAAACACAAATAAAAGAAAAAAAAAACTCACGAGACAAAAAATTGCTGATGAAAAAAAAAAGGGTAACAACCTTTTATATCTTAATGTCCGTTACATAAAAACAAAATTGTTCTCAATTCCCGACCCGCTCTGTGGACTATGGCACCAAGCTTCTATCACACAACCTAAAGATTTCGAATTGCCTACTCTCTTAGAATTGTGTATGTCGGAGTGTGGTTTGGTTCGACACTGGGGCTAATTTCTATCGATCATTCGCAGTTGATTCTTCTCTTCGACTTGAGTTGTATTTCTTCTTCTTCGTCGACTTAGGCTGGAAGTTCTCTTGTCTTCGACTTGGGCTGGAAGGATCTCTTGTCCTTAACTTTTCTCTTGCCGACTTCTCTTTCGTCCGATTGATCTCTTCTCGCCGCAAACCGGGGCTGAACTCTGCCGTCGAGGCAACTCTGCCACAACTCTTCTTCGTCCTTTCAAAAAATCTCCTTCTTCGTCTGATTGGGCTGGAAGTTCTCTTGTCTTCGACTTGGGTGGAAGGATTTCTTGTCTGAGGATTCTCTTGCCCGCAAAGGGGGGCGAGTGAATCCCAGCCTGATGCCCGCGTTCAGGCTCTATCCCTGCCCGCGGTCCAGCTGCAACTCTCAACTCAACTGATTTCTGTCGACTGGGGTCCTGCTTTTATTGACGCCGCAACAAACTGGGGTGGGTCTGTCGGCGTCAGGGGTTTTCTCGATAATTCCAAAAGTCGCATTATTTTTGATTTCTCATTATCGCTATTGTTTTCACCCCTACTTCCTCACAGTGCCTTTTGTGGGGAGGTGCACACCCATCTCTCTTAGTCTCTCGTATGTCAGGTGACCGTTTTTCGACCAATGGTTCCTGATCGAACATTTCTTTCTCTTCTTTTCTGCAGACCACGTGACCGTTTCCGACCAATTGTTATTGATCGAGCATCCTTTCTCCTCCGTTCGGGCGTGGTTACATCGTTCTTGTTTTTAAAAAAAAAACAAAATCCAATTTTGCCTTTTTTTGCACGTACGAAAAAATGATGACAATCTTGGCTTTCTCTCACCTGGGCTCTGTCAACCAGCCCGCCGCTAATTAGTTGTGACTTCAGGAAAGAATATTGTCGCCATCTGTGATCTGAGACAATCGTTTTTTTCACCTCTTGTTTTGTGTCAGACCCGGCAGTCAGAAAATCTTAATTTATCTGAATTGAAAACATCTTTCACTTTCGTCAATGGGGGTTCTAATTTTTAACAGGTCAGAATCTGTATACCGTTCCACCGGTCACTCCCCTCAACCCAAAAGACACTTTTTTTTGATTAAAAAATTTCGTTTTCATTGTTCCCAAAATTTCTCTTTATCCAAATTGATAAGATGTCTTTCTACGCAAAAAAGTAGGCTAGATGCTTTTGACCGATATCTGGTTTTCATCAAGCGGCCCGTTTTGATATCATGTCTTTTCCCTTTCTTTCTTTTTTTTATTATTTCTAATTCTATTCTTCCAATTGTCTTTAAAAAATTCGGTCAACATGCTAGCTAAGATATCTTTCTGACTCGTGTTTTTGTTAATGACCGCTTTTTTGTATTTCTTGACCTCTCTTTCCTTTTCCTTCCTTCTTCTTCCCTTAGGATCGTCCAAGTACAATCTTAGTGAATTATTTTCAACTCAATTATTTTCCGTTTTAAAAAAAATCAACAACCTGTTTAGTAAACTGAGTAAGAAAAAATTAAATCATATTTCTATGAATATTTCTAATAATGCAAGGTGCCACAATCCACTGTGCCATGTGTCCTTGAGGACATCTGTGTATGAATTTCTGGGTATTATAAACCTAATGTCTTCAGCAGCCATTTTTTTTACTAGTGCTCATATTGCAATTTGTTATCGCTTTTCTCTGGCAATCCTTATTACTGGTTCTCTCATTGTATTCATTTCTATGCTAGGTTTGGCTCAGGAGATTTTTGTGGCCTACCATATCTAATGTCTCTGGGTCACCACATGACTTTTGCTCGGTGTTGTAAGCAGTGGATGATCCCTTTCTTTACGCTGTATGGAAGGTGGGAGTTGAAATTGAGGTACCGTCCAGTGAATGTCGGTTTACAGTATACAGATGTCTTGAACCCATGTTCTGTTCGAGATATTAGAATATCCAGGAATGGGAGGGAATGTGATGTTACTCTTTCTCCATTGTAAACTGTATTGAAGGTCTTATTGAGTTCACATGGTCCAGTAGAACCTGAACATCTTGCTGGTGTGGCCAGAGTATGAAGGTGTCATCTAGTACATTGTTGGCTTTAGAGATATAGATTCTAATGCCATTTCCTCAAAGTATTCCATGTATATATATCCCCATTCCTGGTGATAATAGCGCGCCCATTGCTAAGCCCTCATCCTGTCGATATGCGTGATCCCATTACGAAGTGTGTTTGTGTACAGAAAGTCAATATCTCCATCAGATTATCTATTGGAATACTGGTCTGCTCTTCTAGGGATGAGTCAGAGGCCAATCTGTCTCTGACTACTGAGAGTGCCTCCTCTGTGGGTACCTTGGTGAACAAACTCACTACATCCAAGCTCACCATCTGGTTGGATAGGATGGGAACATCTTTGATTATTTCCACGAAGTGGGTAGAGTTTCAGACATATGACGGAGACTTCCCGATCAATGGGTCAATTATATCTACAAGGAAGTGACTCAGAGCCTTGGCAACTAACAATTGGCCTGAGCGGAATATTATTTTTGTGAAGCTTAGGGAGACCGTATATGTGAGGTAGCTTGGTGTAACAGTGCTATAACAGCCTATACATCTTAGGTGGGAAATGATCCTTGTTCTTGATTAGTATCTGTGACAGTTTGTGTTCCGTTTTCATTGTAGGATCCTTTTTTACTCTGCTGTAGCTACCATTGCTAATGAGGTCTTCCAGCTTTCTTGTATAATCTGATTTGTCCATCACTACAGTCGCATTGCCTTTATCAGCTGGTAGTATGATGATGTTTTCGTTCCTCTATAGGGGTCCAATCGCCAGCCTCTCCACTGTTAAGTTAGATCTGGGCAGCTTGGCCTTCAAGGTCTGTCACCTTTCATCTCAGTTCATCCGCCTGAGCCTGAGGGATGTCCAAGGCCACCTCCTTGACTCTGGTAATGATGTCCAAGTATGGCACTCGCCTGAAGGTTGTGGCGAAGTGGAGACCCTTATTCAATACCGACTCCTCAGAGGCACTCAGCTGATATTGGCTGATGTTAACTACTGCTTTCATGAAACCTACATGGACCGTTTTTGAATTTTTGATCTTTCAATCTATTTAATTTTGTGTCAATGTAATAAATTGTTGAATTCACATCAAATTCATGATTGAAGGAAATAACATGTCAAAGTTAGAAAGTTTCTGGTCCTCTTTAAATTCTTTGAAGACTAAAAATATGGGAGATATGAGCCTATAGTCTAGCTGTTTTCATTTAACGATTTTATATTTTCTCTTTCCATCAGGGGGTGTTATTAAATATCACACATTGTGATTCCTATAATTGACCCAAAAAGTCAATTTAAAAAGCCTGAAATCAAATTCCAAAGCTATAGGTAGTGTAGGAATGTCAATATCCAGTTATGGAATTCAAAGTTTCTGTAGATTTTTCAATTTGTCAAAAGTTGATTCAATAGATATTTTATATTTTTTTTTAACCTTCAAAAAAAATGGTTACAGATAAACAAATTTATTGAAAAAAAAAAAAAAAAAAAAAAAAGTCTTATTATTGTTGGATTTAAAAAATGAAAATTGGGATATCTTATTTTAGAACAAGTATTTTTATTATAAATCAATAATGAAAAAATATTTTTTTCTTTAAACCTATTTATAAATATACAAAGATGATATCACCTAATAAATTTATTTAATATTAAAAAAAAAAAAAATATAAAAAAAATGTATTATTTTCAAGAAAAACAGTAATTTGC